TATAGAACAAAAAAAAAGAGGTACTTCTTCACAAAGTACATTGGCAACTTAAAGAACAGACCAACACATTTTGTGGTAGTCATCCATATGATTAAACCTTCACACAATAGGATTTTTAAAAGTTGCACTGTCTGAGATTTGCATTGTGTGAGACTCAACATATCTGGGGACCTCAATAGATACCATGTTGTGCAAAACATATCATTGTCACAGAGCATGGAGTATGTGCAGAATCAAGCATGTTCCATACAAACACCCAAGGCCAACAAAATGAAATTGAATCAAATAAAACAATGCATTGTTGTGTTACATTATGCGATATTTTGTCACTCCAAATAATTTAAATGTTCAACTGGTGGGAAAAATATTAACTCTGAAAGGAGCCAACCTACTGAAAATCTGAATGTATTCCTTTGGCTTTGCTGCACCAAGGTTCACTAACAGCATGAAATTTTGATGTTGTTGTTCTTGCTTTTGTTTTTGGTTTCCAATAAGCTAAATTAGCTGAGAGAAAAATGTGCCCCACTAGTAAAAAACAGAAAGTTTGTTTAGGCAGTTTTTGCTGCAGCTGTGTTTTATTTTTCAGAAAACAAAATAGCAAGTGGCTAAAAGCTGGAAAGATCGCTGTGCACAATACCGTGGGATGTCAGTACAGTGGGTCTACATCTGTTCAAATTCTACATAAAAAGCTCTTTCAACTTTTCTCCAGCTTTCATGGGCAATGCAGGCTGAAGAGTTTTTGATGGGTTTTTTTTGCCATTTCTCTTTCACAAGCTTTTACTATCATCTGTTACTGTCCCTCCCTCATGAATCTTACAATAAATCTTGATCTATACAGTCTTGTACCCCCCCACCGCCCATATCCTGCCCTAGCCTTTGATCTCTTTCCCAGCGTCAAAACATAGGATTCAGATTTTTTTTCCAGAATGCTATTCACATTCAGACTGTGGGTCTGATTTTCTCTAATGAATATATCTCACAGTTAAGCCACAACATTGCAAACAGAAGAAAGACATTATAAAACACAAGCACACATACATACTTTGAACTCTTAAGTAGAGATGACTCTGAAGCTATTTCATCCAGCTTCTTGATAAATTGTAACTAGGCTTTGTCTTGGCAAAACTAGGCTTCATCACTCACCCTAAGAGAGAAGATGAAGAAAAATCAATCTGTGAAAACACAAACACACACATACACACACACACAAATTCATAGTAGAGGTGGCATATTCATATTTGTAAATGAATACAAATATCTCAGGCCCAGGTGGCCAGGATCCCCAGTCCCACCTCCCCAAACCAACCTGTCCACCTATGGGTCACAGCACACACAGCCAGCTTTCTGATTGTTGGGCCAATCTCTAACAAAGCCAGCTGCTGCTTCTCTTCCTTCTTGCTTTTCTGGCCACTCAGCTGGAGAAAAGAGAGGGGAGACTCATTATCCTACCCCCTGGCTGAAGTGGCAGGTATGCTTCCCCTGGATTGGTAGAATGGGACATTGAGGTAGGGTTTGCCTGAAGGCACTGAGGCATTTGGAAGAGACATACTTTAGGGTACCTCAGGCACAGAGGTGGATTGCATTGAGTTCACAGTTCCACTGTTTATTCATAAGGGATTTGGTTTAGATTATACCTGATTAGCCCAGTGGTGTTTCCTACTTACTCCAGTTTAAGCTTGAGTTTTGCTATAAGAAGCTGATGATCAGAGCCACAATCAGCTACAGGTCTTGTTTTTCCTGACTGTAGAGAGCTTCTCCATCTTTGGCTGCAGAGAACATAATCAATCTGATTTCGGTATTGCCCATTTGGTGATGTCCATGTGTAGAGTCGCCTCTTGTGTTGTTTGAAAAGAGTGTTTGTGATGACCAGCTTGATCTCTTGGCAAAACTCTGTTAGCGTTTGCCCTGCTTCATTTTGAACTCCAAGGCCAAACTTACCTGTTGTTCCTTTTATCTCTTGACTCCCTACTTTATGTGTAGCCTTGATCAAATGGCTGATTTTTGTTCCTATTTTGTAGACAGGTGACCGAAAGGTTCCAAAGCTAAACAGCAATATTGCCAAAATGGAATTTGTATTGAGGTTGCTGCTGCATGGATTCAGTTCAGTTCAGTTCAGACTACTTTATACCGAATGATATATATATTTTGCTATAGCTGGTATACCTCAGTGTGTTGGAATGCAGTGGCCATGAGTTCAAATCCCTACCATGCCTCCTGGGAGAGGGTCTAGCGAAAATCAAGTGGAGCAAGTGTGGTTGTTAGGGTTATGTCTCCTGCCCCCTGTGTGACCTAGGGCTAGTCTCACAATCCCAGGGTGCCTCAAGAAGGAGTGACTTGTGAATCATTTCTAAATGCTGTATGCGGAGCAGTTTGTGCTTAGAAAGCCGTCATAAGTTGAACTTGAGGGCACTGTGGGTGTTGTTGAAATGCTAGGTATTGGTTAACAATGTAGTGGTGACTGCCAACTTGGACAGGTTTAATAGAGGATTGGACACATTCAAAGAGGATGAGGCTGCAGATAATTATGATGCCTATATTTTTTCAAGTTTCAGAGATAGTTTATTTTGTATGTCAGTTGCTGGGGAGTATCAACAGGCTGTTGCACTCGTGTCTTACCTGTAAGTATTTTCCAGGCAAGGCCTGTAGCATTACTTCTAAGAAGAATGACTATAAGGACATGCTGTAGCTATTCATAACTAAGCAATGCTAGGATGCTCTAGGACCCAGGGTATCATTCCACCCCTGCTCAGTTTTGGAAGGATTCAGCATATCCTTATTGCCTTTCTTCTTAAAGGGACTTTCCAGCTGTGTCCATAGGGAACTAGTTGGCTGCTGTAAGAACAGAAGGCCAGACTGTGATCCTGCAGGACTCTTTAATCGTCGTCATTGTCGTCATCGTCGTCGCCGTCGTCGCCGTCGTCGCCGTCTTCTTCTTCTTCTTCTTCTTCTTCTTCTTCTTCTTCTTCTTCTTCTTCTTCTTCTTCTTCTTCTTCTTCTTCTTCATTTGATTTTTACTCTGGAAAATTCTAGAAACATACTTCAATCATTTTATTTTAAAATCTGGGCCAGACAAAGTCCACCCAGACCACCACAAGTTGTTGCCACAGGCATGCTTGCTAAAAATTTGCAGATTTCAGGGGAGAAGGGAAAAGCCCCCCAAAGTTCCAAAAATGCAAGCTTTGCCTTAAAGGAAGAGAGAGAGAGAGAGGAAGAAAAAGCAGCATTTCCTCTATGTATCTTCCGTAGCTTGTCCAGCCTTTTATACAGAGCTGTAATTTTTCTATTTTTGTAAACTAGGCAGTAATTATGGCTTCAGCTAAGCATATATTAGTTGTAAGTAGTTTCTCCCCCCCCCTTTCCCCCTGAGAACCACAGAATGACCAACTGGCACTGTTGGCATTGGGGATGGCAGGGTGGTACAATTTTGCTGTTTTGAAAATATTTGGGGTTTTTTTTGTGTGTGTTGCTCTTTTTACCTAGTTGCTTAAATCTTTTTGATTAGCCTTTCTGGAAACTCTGTGGGATTGAAGAGTGAGATAGGATAAGATAGGATAGGATGCAATGCAATGCAATGCAGTGCAGTGCAGTGCTCCTTATATGTGCTGACTAATAGATTCTTCTGACCAATGTAACCTTTCTTCCATGTAGTCTTTCCTACACTGTGTCAAGAAATATTGGGCCAAAATCCAAAAGGGTGGTTCCATTATTGTTTCCATCAAGAGGTCTGAAACAATTCCATACACCCCACAATCGTGTGCTCTGAACACATGTTCCAGAAAACTAACGCATTATTCAAAGGAGTTTTTGGGTGTTGTAGAGGGAAGAGAAGAAAGCCCTGACATGCTAGTAGATGCTCTCTATTAAGACAATGTGATGTTTATGCTGAGAGTAGTTGATTGTTGCCCTCTAGATTTGTTTGGACATCGGATCCCATAATGCTTCACAATTGACTGTGCTGCCTGAGGCTGGTGGGAGCTGTAGGCCAAAATCTCAGATGCCCACCGTCTCTCACCCTTGTACATTCTGTACCTTCTGCTGCTTTGTGTGTGTGTGTGCCTCTACTTCTTTTCTCTAAACCCCCCCTGCCCCCTTTTCACTATTTTGAGCAAGAAAGAGAAAGAAAGGTATTTCTTCCCTTTCAGTCTTGTATGATTGGGCAAGTGACAGCCTTAGCAGTCCCCATGCAGGGGGTGAATACTGTTAGCACTTGCTTTCAGAGCACCAGGAGGATGCACCCTGTAGCAAACAAGCCAGAGTTAGTGATTTCCTCAGAGAACTATTTACTCTGACTTGAATTAAATTAAGGGTTATGTTTAAGATTTGTGTAGTCGCGAAGGCTTTCACGGCTGGGATCTAATGGTTGTTGTGGGTTTTTTGGGCTCTTTGGCTGTGTTCTGATCAGGTCACTGAATTTGCGAGTCTCTGTGGCCAGCATCTCCAGAGGACAGGAGTAGCACAGACCAGAACACAGAGTGCTATTCCTGTCCTCTGAAGATGCCGGCCACAGAGACTGGCGAACCATTAGGAAGAACAACCTTCAGAACACGGCCAAAGAGCTCAAAAAACCCACAACAACCTTTAAGATTTGTATTTATTGTAAGCTGCAGTCTCGATAAATGCATTCCAATCCATAAAATGTGTCTGTAGAAATTACTGAAATAACCAGAAAGGGTGAAAAGTAGTTTTGCAAAGTTGGTTAAAGAGTATTGAAGGAGGAAGGTAAAAAAATTCTCAGGATTAAATAAGGTTACAAATATACTGTCTTCCACCTCTGAGACTATGTCAGCCTTTGTCAGGCCATGACAGAGCTGCCTCCCAGGTGGAGGAGAGTGTGCTGCTTAAACACACAGTGTAAAGAAGAAGAGAATTAAGGCCATATATGACACAGGGCAGGACGTTGTCAGTTATCTAAGCCAATATTTTCAGATTGGACAGAGTTAACTTTTTAAAATCTACATTAAGAGATTGTTGTTTGAATTTTGTTATTCTCTCTCACACAGGTGCCTTTGTGGTGTGCTGGACGCCTGGTCTTGTCATTCTGCTTCTGGATGGCTTGAACTGCACCCGATGTGAGGTTCAGAATGTGAAGAGGTGGTTTCTTCTCCTGGCTCTGCTGAACTCTGTCATGAATCCAATCATTTATTCTTTAAAAGATGATGAGATGTCAACTACTATGAAGCGCATGATCTGCTGCTCTTTTGAGGAGAGAAATCAGGAGCGCCACTCTTCCAGGGTCCCTTCCACCGTACTCAGCAGGAGCACAGATTCCTCCAGTCAGTACTTTGAAAATGGCATTAGCCAAGGGACTATCAGCAGCAAAGAAAATGCATGAGCATTTTCTCCTCAAGGTGTGGACTGCTATGTGGTGGGGAAGAGTGGTAGCAAGTGGAATGAATCCTGAACATGCTGAGGTCACTGAATCTTGAAACCATAAAATACTGTGTTCCGTGTATCAAAACCCACATTTCAGGGTTACCTGAACAATTACCGGATGAAGAAATAATGTACTTGAAGGGGTGAAAAAGAAAAGGAGTGATCTTACACAATGACCTAGCACAAGCCGTAGAAACCTTGTGGAATCTTCTTGCCTCAGCAACCTAGTTATCACAGAGGCTGTATGGGAACCTGTGTCTGGACTGTACCATTACAAACTATTCTTGCAGGGTACAGTGATTCTCATTGCTGAACAACTTCACATTCAGTGTGTATACTTGAATGTGTCCATGTCAATAACTAGGAGGACAGACAGAAGAGTTATGGACTTTCCTCTCTACTTGTTAGTTGCTTTAGTAGTAAACAATAGGAGCATATTGACCTATTCAATTATGTGAGCTGTTTCACCTCTGGAGTCTAAAATGGTAAAGCCCAGAAGGACCAGCCCTGCCATTAGGCAGAATGGAGCAACTGCTATTGCTGAGTCCCCAAGCTTTGTTTCTGAGCTTCTCAGAGTCCCAACCGTTCCCGCATTTCAGAGGGAAACACTATACTGTACCTGTCGCAGAGCCTACTCTTACCCTCTAAACAGGCCTGTTGCCTTCAGGTGTGGCAGAGAATGTTCTGGCAATTCCAGTAACAAACCGTCATTTGGCAGTTAGTCGGCATTTGTACCTCGAACTGAGGAAAGGTGCCATCGTGTTCTTCACCACAGGCAGCAAAATGTCCCAGGTGGGCCTTGTAGCCCAGACAATATGTAATCTTTTCAGATAAACATGGCTAAAAGTATTTTTCATGACATAAGTGAGGTTGTAGAACCAAACTATATCTTCCTTATGTGTATCCATGTTGTTTACATCATGCTTAGTGTAAAGGTTTGCCAGTTTCCCTTCTAAAGGCAAAAGTACAATGGATTTCTAAAATAAATAGCGAGCATGCCGCAGGCACTCAAGACTGCCTCCTAATAACACATTACTTCACACATATGCAACTTCTGTGTCTTGTTAATACACCCAGATCATCTCCTAATCCTTATACTGAAGGGGTGACTGGATCCCTGGTCTTTACAATCATTATAAATACATACTGGGGTAACTATTGGAAGATTAATAATAACTTTGAGCTTCCATGAAGCCTCATCTTTTGAAAAGCCAAGTTTTGAAGAACATGTGGTTAAAATGAGAGTGTAATGACAAAGAAACAGAGAAGAATATACTGTATATTCATTTGTGGTTTATCAACATTATCCTTTCTGGTTGACAAGAGATCCCTGGAAAGATTTCTACAGAGGAATCAAATGGTACATATTTTTATTTTAGTGTACAGTACTTAAAACAAATTCCATATGTATAGATTTATTTTCACACTGTACTTTTTAAGTGGTTGTATCACATGTGAACTGAGGTCAATGATATAACTAATACGATTGTCCAATGTTTTAAATAATTGTTTATTGTTTGAGTTTGGGAAATGCTCTTCAGATACAGGAATTCTTCCAGAAGAAATCCTAGGCCTAACTGCACCTAATATTAATCATGTTACTTGGAATCACATCCTCCTTATTTATTTACTTATTTCACTACAAGTGTGTAGCATTTAATTTTTATTAGGACCACAGTGCATGGAAAGGTGAGGTTTTGCTCTTTGCTCCGTCCACCCATGATTGCAACAAATATCTCTCCCTGCACACTGCACTTGGGGTTTGGATAAAAGCCCCCTGGGGGGTAAATAATGCCTGTAAGTGAACAAAGTAACAAATTTGGTCTGATTTCAAGCAATGCAATTGGTATGGTGTATAGTGGTTTTGGCATCTGGCTACAGAGCCAGAAGTAGAGAGTTTGACTCCCCACTGTACCTCCTTGACAGAGGCTGGACTGGATTATCCAAAGGGTCCCTTCCAGTTGTGCAGTGCTAGGATGATGATGATCATTATATATTATTATATACTGCTTCTGTTACAGCAAGGAAAACACTATTTCTTGCATGTGTAAATATATTACAAATGTATGAATGTTTTAAACTCTGTGGTGCCTGGAATTGTAAAATTATAGTATATCAGAAGAAAACACACTTTCTTTTCCTGTCTGTTTCCCACGTGAAAGACAGATAAAACTCCAAGCCAGTGTAGATCTGATTTGATGGTATTCCTACCCAGATGTAAGCCCTGTTCTAAAAATGGTATTCAGAACATAGCATACTTTTAAACAACCATTTTGCAAGCAGGTTACAGGGAATGCAGCTGGGTAGTATGTGTGTTCATATGAGTGACCATGATTTGACGCTAGACCTTCTGGGACCAAATGAAATTAAATATCTTGCATTGTTAATGGGCATTGTTCATGATACACTGGTGAATTCTGATTCTGTTCTTACATACCAGAAATCACCTATGTCTTTTAGATGGCTAATCTAGTCTCCTCTAAACCTTCCTTGTGTCCCCTTGATCAAATTCCCTTTCGACTTCAACTTTTCTATGTTCTACCAAACCAAGTAGACATCCTTTCATTCTCCTTTGCTGCCCCATACATGTGGAGTTCATCCCTGAATGTAAGTTTTATTTTGCTTTCTCTCTCTCTCTCCCTTTACTCTAGACTTCCTTGAAACCCACCTGGGGCACGTCATACCACCATTTAGATCTGTGTCCACTTATCCACTCAAACCTCATTCCTTGTCATACTATGGCTTTATGGAATGTAACAGCATTTGTTCATCTTCTCTCCTTCCTCTGGACTATCACCTTTTCCTTCTATTGTGTCCTTATTGTCCCCATTATCTCCTTGGCCTTGTAAGCTCCTAAACTCTATAAGGTGGCATGCAGGCATAAACAATAAAAATACATCTGTGCTGCAGCTTGGAATGGACAACATCTGTATCCAGCAGGAATCTGACAAATCATGGTCCAAATGCAGGAAGGATTAGATCTGTCCTGGCCTCCTGGTATCATGGGGCGGGCAGACTCACTGCAGAAATGGCATGGATTCTGTGGTCTGAGTAACTTGTGAATGCCCTTTCGTTTTATCTTTATAGTACAGAAGGAAGAAATACAGGAGGTTGCTGGTTAAATTCCAGCAAGCATTTAGCAATAGCATTTCTTTATGTCTTGCAGGGCTGGCTGTGCAATGATGTATAACAAGGCAGATGCTGTGGAGTATCACCTCACCAGTGGTGCTGAGGTGTTATCCTACAAAGTTGTGTGCACCGTAGGGCCTGCCCTGCATCTCCTCAGCTGGTTTGCTGGCTTCAAGACTGGAGAAAGATTGCCTCATCACTCTTCTCGAAGTAAAATTCAACGGCCAATCCTGGCCATTAAATTTTACACAGAATTTGTGGTGGTGGTGCTGTAACTTGTTCTTTGTCAGGAAAATATCTTTGGGTAGGCCTGCTGTTTTGTCTTTGTACATTGGAAAGCATGCTTCTAAAATACTGTCTTTCTTACAGGGATTGGGGAACAAACCCTTGCAGAAAATGTTGACTTGCTGCAAAAGTGCACACATTAAATTCAGCTTTATCTTTGTATAAAGGCTACTTTTTGTGGTATCTTTAAATAGTTATGTTTTGTTTCCTGTGGTTATAGGTCTGAAATAATCCTATAACCACCAGAACCCTTGTGCCATTTCATGTTCTACAGTAACTATGATTGTAATATTTGCCATTGCAACATTTGTAAAGTGACGCCACATTAGCCTCTAGGATGGAATAAATTTGCCGTACTTAACATTTTTATAATGACTGATTTCAAAATGGCTGCTGCCATGTGTCCGTGTTTACTGCTGGTGTTCCCCAGAATCACTTCACTCTGCATATGTGCTCATAAACTCTTGGGTTTCATTTGTTTCTTTTCATAAAAGGAGAAGTATGTCCTGGTGTCATGCCTCTTTATAGAGACACAAGCATCTCAGTGTCCAAAATGCTGCTCATTTTTATATAGCAAAATAGTGGTATTTTACTGCTCTCTCGTCTCTTTCACTCTCTTTTAAGATAAAGAAGAACTAGTACTTAAAGTCTTCGCCCTTGGGAATCAAAATTGGTACTAAAGGAAGGTTTTGCAGGCTGTTCAATGGCCAGTTGGTAGCATATCATTAATCTCTTGCTAGCACTCAAAAGGAAGCAATAAAATGCTTTGGACCTACAAGCAGGAAGTGTTTAATTACAGGCAAAGGAGATTTAAAAAGTCTCAAAGGGGCTTTGCCTTTCCACACTACACAAGCTAGTGCTGTAACTGCAAAAAGAAATGGCCTCAAATCAGATCTGAAAAACTGTCGGACAACACCTAAAACACTGCAGTGCACCAGGCCTGGGTATTCTACTGGATATCCTTTCCAGAGGAAAAAGCTGGTAGTTCTGAAACTGCAGTTGTTGTGCAGGATTTTATCAAAGGCCCATGTATTTCTCATGTATATTTTGAATTTTTGTTTGGTCGTCTCTTGGACTTACATTGGTTTCTCATTAATCTTTCTGGTGTTTCTCCAGAAGGATATTGTCTGTGTAACATCTGATATTTTTTAAAGACCTCTTCTAGCTGATGGGATCCTCCTTTTGTTGAAAAATAACAAATTTGAATCTTACAAATCTATACTTGGCAAAAATTGTACTGTAAAAGTCAAGAAGCCTTATCCCTCCAATTTCTGAGGCTATACTTCCCATAATCCTTTGTCTTTGCCCATACTGGCTGGTGTTTCTGGGAGTTGACAAAAACATAAAGGTTAACCAGCCTGGAACTTTTTGTTGGATATATTGCAACCTACATATGAAGCCTTTGAGAAGTTTTGGCTGGGAGGGACCTTTTCTGAAATGGGGTTGCTCTCAGTCAGCTCAGTAGCAGCTGGTAATTCTCTCTCTCTACTTCAGATTCTTTCCCTCACTTTTTTCCAATCAGGTTTCTGTCAGTGTAAGCAATGGAGTCTTAAAAAATTAGGATGATGTGTTCTGTCATCTGTGTAACCAGTCATTTAGTCAATAATGAAGATAGTTAACCAGTTAAGCTCAATAATGTAACAAGTTAACATTTTATAGAATATGATGTTTGCTTTTATCTAGGAAGAATCATAACTAAATGGAAAGATTTTTATTCTTTTTCATTACCAGCGCCTCTGAGGGAATGTATGAAGACAGTAAGGGCCAGCTGAGGTAAACTAACAAGTAAAGGATAGTCTGCTAAGGGAAACTTGAAGTCAGTGTACTCTGTAGTTTCCCGGAACCATTTTATCCTCTGTGTAATTACAGGAAGTTTATTTTTAATTAAGGCCACACTAAATTCCTCATACACAATCTGTCACCCAAGATTTTTGCCATCCAACCGAATTCAGAGTCCAGTACTGAGATCTAAGGCTGTAACTAGCTCTGTTTCTGTTTTGTCATTGGTCATTTCTTCAACTGAAGATTTTCTCGTATGATTGCTTAGTTTGTGACTCTCGGTCTGTGTTTCTACCTCCTCCTGTCAGTCTTGTCCTTTGGGTTCTTACGAAGTCTATCACCCTTGATTTTTCCATCAATCAATTCCTTTTGAACTTTATCCCTTTCTTCCACTGGAATCTTCATTATAGATGCTACCTGTAGATTTGTTTTTATGGAGGTTTGGTCTGATAAAACAATATAGGTCTTGGAACACACTTTAATTTATATCTGCACCTTATTGATATTTTGGAATGGAATAGATAGGAGGAAAGCTGGTTAAATTCACTGGTATTTCATGCTGAAAGGAGGTTAAACATTTAATCCAAGTGATCATTGTATGGCCTGGTGGAACAAGTGCCTTTTAACAGCTGTCAAACACTGCCAGTTGTATAGGCCTGACAGGTCTCCAGGGAGACAGATTGTTCTATTGTTCTCTGAAAAGCCTCTTCCCAATCCCCAAATGACACGGGAAGGTTGCAATTCTTTCTGCACAGGCAAGCTCTCTTACACTGACTCAGATTTTTTTTTATAAATATGTGTATGTTGGATCAAGGTGCACAGGGCTTCCATCCAGTGTATACTCAAGAAAAGAGTGATAACACTTGCCAATTCTGTAGTTGGATCTCTAATGCACATTTGCTCATGCAATGGTAAGAGTTGTATTCAAAATCTCATTAGAAGAGTAGCTCTGGGGTGTTTAATCCTCATATGTGCCATTCTTACCCCACTGACTCCCAACCTCCACAAGCTGCTTTTAGGACAAAACATGATGAGGACTATGCTTGATTCATATATGCATGTGTGTTTGTGTGTAGATATATATATTGGGTAAGGCTGGTTTACATTAGTGATTCCCAGCCTTTTATGTTATTACTACACTGAATTTTATGGGAAATCTCGTGATAATGTCTCCACTAGAGATGGGCACGAACCACTGAACGGGCGGTTTGTGCTAGTTTGTCCTTTGGCCAAACAGCTGTTTGGTTGCCTCCTCCAGTGGACGCCCACTCAGAGATTTGTGCCCATCTTTATTCTCCACTTGTGCCACCTGTCTTCCAGATTTCTCTTTACTAAAGAACATTTTAGTTGTTATTGTGAGGAGCCCTCCCTCTGGGAATACTCTATAGCTGCAGTCCTGTACACATTTACCCCAGGGTTAGTACCATTGAAGAACACAGTAGATGTGCCTGGGATTGCACTGTGCTTTGGTTCACCATTGATACACTCCTGAGAAAACAATGCTTTTTTCGGTTGTTGTGGGTTTTTCGGGTTCTTTGGCCATGTTCTGAAGGTTGTTCTTCCTAACCTTTCTCCAGTCTCTGTGGCCGGCATCTTCAGAGGACAGCACTCTGTGAGTACTGTCCT